CGCGAGCCCTCCCCAGGCAGAGCCGCGCCCCACCCCGCCCCTCCAAACCCCCGTCTGCCCGCGGCCCTCGCAGCCTGCGAGCGGGGGGGAGCCGCACCGCACCGCACCGCACCTCATCGCTCCGCAGCTTCCTTGTTTTGTTTACGAGCGTGTTCAGAGGCTACAAAGGACAGGGGACTAGTGGAGGCAGGGGGGGAAGGGGACTAGTGGAGGCAGGGCAGGGAAGGAGGGCTGCCTGCTGCCCGAGGCAAACCCCTCTGCTGAGGTGACTGTGGATACGAACCGCGCGGAGTTTGCCAGGCCTCCGCGAAGTCTTCAAACAACACCCGGTTCATTCCTTTGTAAGGGCGGGGAGACCCCTGACCCGAGAGGGCTGCTTACTTCAACCCACTCCGGCCTATTTCTTTGCTCCCTTTTTGCTTCAGGAGGGGGATCACTGAGACCTTTGGGCTGGAAGGGGAGGGTCTTAGCACCAGGCCAATTAAAAGGAAACACTCAGCTTGATTCTTCAAATAGTGTCTGGAAAACAGTTGCCCCCATTAGCAGAAAGGGAAACTTAATAAACGTTCCTCGGGGTGCCTCCCGAGTCTGGGGGGGCACCCGATTGCCAGGGGGGCCCGCGGCCGATCGCGGACCCAGCGGCGAAACCAGATGTGCACTTCCAATGTTGCGGCTGGCGCTTCCCGGGGGTGCACGGAGAGCTCACCCGCGTGCACCCCCTACACGTTGCCAATGTAAACGTTCATGGCTGAAATTGAAAGATCTTTCATACCAGTATCTTTCAGATATAAAAAAGGAACAAATTAAATAAGTGAAGAAAGGTGAAGATGACACCGAACAAGTTTTTCTGAACATTTCTCATTAAGCTGAGATTTTCAGCTTAATTCTCTCTTTTTTTCCCCTTTCTTTTCTAATGCTGCTTGCTGCCTTTTACTGTGAACCTGCTAATTATCCTAATTATGATATTTTAAATGGGTGGCTTAAGCACAAACTGTTGTGGGACACCTCTGATTCTCACTGATGAATTTTGTGGATTCCAGAGAAACATGAACCATTTCATGGTCTGGAAAGTGAAAGTTTGTGCTGATGGCAAACTATATTTTTCCTTCAAACGCTGCTAGTCTCAAACAATTCAGTTTTCTTCATAATAAATTTACAAATGTTCTCAAATTCGCCTGAAGAAGCCAGTGAAAAGTGAGATGGAAGGATGTTATATTATCACCACAAAATAAACCATTGCTACTGCAACAATTTTTTTTCACTTTGATAAAGGTTACAAATAAACAGCAGGAGTTGCATGCAAATCATCACTCAATGAAGTTTCATACATTATGGTAAACAATAGTGATATGGGTGATCATGCTGCAAGCATTTTAGGACTTGCCTTAATTTTACTCACATATTCAGTTTGGTTAATATAAATTGAACTATTTGCATAGTCAAAATTAAGTACCTGCTTAGTTGTTTTCAGAATTAGGAATATAATGATGGTAGATTTTTTTCATATCGGTCTCTCCGGTATCCATCCTATTTTGTAAATTTGATTTGGCTTAAAAAGTATTCATCACCTCTTTCTGTTAAAAAAGTTGTATTGTGCTAAACCCATAAAAATAGTGCTATTCCACTTTTTCCTATGTTGTATTCACTGTTTATAAAACTACTCAATTTTTTGTTGCTCCCTGTTGTTGTGATACAATTAGACCTGTTTTTAAATAGCGGCATCCTACAATTCATCTATAAAACTGAAGTGAATAATGATATAAAAGATAAGTGGGGTTTTATGTCAATCTGAAATAAATATATTTTTAAATAAGATTTGCAGCAATTGATAGAAATCCATTAGGATACAGACAAGAATAAAAATCCAAAATAACAAACATAATTTAATTCTAGAAGTGCAGGCAGACAATTCTGTGCCCTGTAATTTGACCAATAATTTGATTTGTACTACCCATAATGCTTGAAAGCTGGAAAATGAAATTGACAATACTATGTACATACAGTTTTGCTGCCCAGCCTTGTGTTTATCTAGCTGGATCCAGAAACAAAACTATTTTTTAAAAGTACAGTGTATTGATTGTTTACATTTTATAAAAGCACATAAGCCAAATTCATTTGCACAAATGTCAGATACACAATGTGTGAGATCTTTTTTGGGATACAATTCCTGATTGTAGCAGCAAGAAATTATATCACATAAACTGATAAAGTGCTTTGTAGCAGGATACAGAGGCCTTATTATTTACAAGTAAGCAAACTGCTAATTCCCTGCTGACACCTGTGCACTGGGTTGTATAACAAGCAAGAGCTTGGGACTAAGCCAGCCAGACTCTTAGATGTGTCGTATTAGCTTAGGGTTTTGATCCTGCAAAGTCTTATGAATCTGCTTAGCTTTATAAATGTTAAGCAATCCTAATAGGCAGAGACTTCAGACCTCAAAAACTATCACATAGAATCTGAGTTATTTCAGAATTGAGCTGTTCGCAAATTAGCTTTTCTATTCCATGGGAAAATTCAAAGTTCCAAAATAAATAAATAATTTAGGTTGGAATGAGAAGTGTAATATTGGACATTTTCTGCAATAAGGAAATACTTAAAGGCTACGGACAGAAGTTACACATAAACCAGTGTAAGTGATCAGGAACTGGCTTAAACCTGTAACAGAACAGAAGTTCAGTGCACTTACACTACTCTTAAAATGGCTGAAATGGATTTAAAATAAACCTGGTTGAATGTAGTACCAGGCTTAACTGATTTAGGTCAAACCAGTTTATGGAACGTCTGTCCCAGATCCCCTCCTGATTCAACTTAACTCACAGTCCTCCAGCATCCCAGGATGCTGGGCCCTAGACTGTGCTCTCTGCTCTAGCAAAGCAGGGCAGCCCCACCCCCAGCTGTAGGTGGAGTGGGGGGAGCTTTTCCATCCCTGGCAGCTGGAAGCCAGCCAGCCAAGAATCAGCCTGGCTCCCAGCTGGGGTGGGGCGAGTAAAGCTTCCACTGCGGGTTTCCCTCCATGCTGGGCACAGCCTGGCTGGAGGTCCAGAGCTGGGAGGGGCATTTCCCCCACAACTGTCTCCTCAGCCTGCCCGCCATCCAGGGAGGGGACGTGGCCAGGTGATTGCCCCAGCTCCTGGCTCTGGTGCGGGGAGTAAAACCCCCACTTTGGGCTCCCCCCACCTTCAACCAGGCTGGGGGTCCAGAGTCCAGGTGGAGGGGAACCATTTTCCCCCCTCACTCCGTCCAGCCAAGGAGGGGGCATGGTTAGATAATCGCCCTAGCTCCCAGCTAAGGTGTAGAAAGTAAAGCCACCACTGCTGGTTTCCCTTCAGCCAGCCTGCTGGCTGAGGAGGGGCATGGCCAGGTGATTGCCCCAGCTGCCAGCTGCAGGGAAGCTCACAGTGAGGGCTTTACTCCCCCACTCCAAGCCAGGAGCCGAGGCAGTCACCTAGCCATGCCTCCTCTGCTGGCAGGCTGGGGGTCTGGAGCTGGGTGCTGGGGGTGTTTCCCCCCCACTCCCTCCTCAGCTGGCCTGCTGGCCAAGGAGGAGGCATGGCTGGGTGATTAACCTGGCTCCTGGCCCTGGGTATGGGGGGTGGGGGTGAAAAGAAGAAGAAGTGCCCTGCTGGGCCTCTGTTTCCACTGGGTAACTTACTTGCAGGACATAACTGAAGAAGTTTCTTAGAAGGAAAAGGTCTGTGACAGCTACCTACTGCCAGTTTGAAACAATGAAGAGACTTAAGTCTATAAGGCTAAGTATAGACATTCGGGGGCATTACAGGGAGGTTAAATCAGAACAAAACGTCTACCCAGTATCGGGTAAGTCAAGATGGGCGGCGAGTAGGGGGTTGGGGGTCCAGCAGGCTGGAGAGTATCAGGGGTCTGGTGGTGGGGGAGGCATGACCCATGAGAGTTGGGGGGCAGTCATGACCCACAGGGTGCAGTGGGCAGGACCGGCAGAACCTGCGGGTGGGGTGGGTAGGCCCTGTGCAACCCGCAGGCAGGGCAGGTGGGACCGGTGCAACCTGCAGGTGATGAGGGGGCCTGTGCAACTTGCAAAGGGTGTGGGGTGGGGCAGGTGTAACCCATAGAAGGGGTGGTGTGGCCAGGGCAGGCATGACCCATGAGGGGTGGGGAAGCCAGCATGACCCATGGGTGGGGTGGGGGCAAGTTGGTCTTAAGGATGTCTTCGAAGTGCTTTCTCTGCCCTCCTTTTGAGCATACGCTTTGACTGATCTGGAAGAATAAAACTTGCTTTGGGAGTCTGGAGTCAGACATGCAAATGATGCTGCCAGCTGAGCAAAGTTCACGTTAGATGATTATCGCTTCAATGCCTGTGTTGTATGCTTGCAAGAGGATACTACTGTTGGTGCATCTGTCTACCCACTGGATTCAAAGGATCTTCCACAAGTTGTTTTGATAGTACTTCTCCAGTGACTTGAGGTCTCTCCTGAATGTTGTCCACATTTCAGCTCCGTACAATAAGGTGGGGCTCATGACTGCTTTCTAAACCATGATACCGGTTTCGGGTCTGATGCCGTGATCTTCAAACACCCAGCGCTTGCACATGTGAGGTGATGTTGGATTTCTTGGTTGATGTCAGCCTTCTGTGAAAGAGGGCTTCTGAGGTACGGGAAATACTCAGCGGTCTCCAGAGTCTCACCTGGAGCTGAGGACTGCTCATTAAGAGTTTGTTGATGGACATCAACGGGAGATGGAAAAACAGGAGCATCAGAAACAGGGTGTCGCAGACTGAATCAAGAACCCAGAGCCATCCACCCTGCATGGAAACGTGCCCAAGCTGCAACAGTCTTTTGATCCCAGATAGGCCTTGTCAGCCATCTTTGGGCACACAGATAAGACAATCGTGGACGACAATTATTCTCAACTGTGAGGGATTGCCGATGATGGTGATGATGAGATAGCAAAAGATTTCTTGGGGTAAAGGGTTTTTAAACTAGCAAAGGCAGTAGCTGTAAGATAGAGCTCCACAAATTCAGACTAATAAAAGATATCACATCTAATAAAAGACAACATATCTACCCAAAGAACCTTGTCTGCCTATGTCTTTAGACCAACACCGCTACAAGCAACATCCCACAAATTCAGACTGGAATTTTTTTTTTTGGTGGGAAGGGGGAGCATTATTTGTCTGTTTTGTGTGTGTTTTTTTTAGGGATTTACCACTGGAAAAATATTTAAAATCTTTACATTAAGACTGGGTGTATTTCTAACATGTGCAATAAAAAACATTCTGGTGATCTTTTCTTTGAAATGCTCTAGTGTCTATGTGCCTGGAGGCAGGGACTGGAAATTGGGGAGGGGTTGCCTTTGAGTCATGGTTACACAAAGAGATTTGGACTGTGATGATAAGCCAGAGATATGGAGACAGGATCTCTGTAAATAGAACTGAACCAGGACAAGGAACCAGAAATTAAACAGAGACAGGACTGGGACCAGGATAAGTGAGAGGGAATGGGCCAGAATGAGTCAGGCGCACACAGAAGAATTTACCCAGAAGGATATCCTTTCAGATCTTGGAAAGAAATCCAATATTCCTGAGTCTCACCAGTGCCCTGCTATCAGAACATGTCTGTGAACACCCCTGGCAAAGTATTTCATTCTCTTCTAGTGCTGGTTCCTATAGAGAATGACAACCAGATAGAAAACAACCACCTGCAACTGCTATCACTTCCTCTGTTATCTCAAGTAGCAAGCATCTGTGCAGTGTATTTAAAGGTTGTAAACCCAAATGACCC